CAGGTCCTACAAAGGGTGTTTGAGCCCCTTTCCTTGCAAGACTATCTGCAATCTCATTACCCTGTACCCCGCTATGTCCCGGGACCCAAGTGTTATTTATGTTGTCATCAACATCAATAAAGTATACAGATCTGACAAGATCAAATATAAGAGCCTGCTTTGCCTTTGCCAGAACGAAACATTCAGAAATCTCCCACCTCCTCCTTTCGACGCTCTCGGCTCTACCAAGTACATCTGACACTGATGAGAATATCGAAAGGTTGTATAAACATGACAAGTCGCGCCAACAACGAGCTTATTTCTTTAGATTTATATGGACACGACACTGACTGATTTTTGGCGCGGTTCAGGCGCGACTTTTTTTATTTACACGCACCTTTATGTTTTATTGTTCATTTTGTTTTATTGTTTAATATTCACAGAATAAAAATAATAAACAATTTATTGAGTAGTTTTTTCCTGTTTCTGTTATATCGCTTTCCATTTTCGATAATTTATTTATGCCTAGTATTGTTTATTGTTACTCGTAATCAATCTTATTGCATAATTATAACTATTAGGATGAAAATATTATTTTAACTCCTTTTAAAAGTATCCGTAAAAGTATCTTTTAAAGTATTCGAAAAAAGTATCCGGGTACTTGTATCCGAGTACTTTTTAGGTGAAAGTATCCTAAAAAGTATCCGGATACATTGTAAGTATCCGTATCCGGTACTCGGATACTCTTTTCCTGTATCCGACCCAACTCTGGCAGACGATACTAATTTTATGTTTATCATCAAAAGTTTTTAGAAGTAACTATTGACAGTACAATGACATTCAAAAAACACATCAACTATGTCATAAAAAAGCATCTTGTAACGATAATTATTTTAGTAACACAAATAAATTAAATTCATACACAATTTCAAAAAGTAGTAACCTTTCGTTGCATCTTGTATATGATACGCAATTATGTTTACACATAAAAAGCTTGGCACGTGCGCACGTGTTCTTAGAATAATTTGTCCATAAAAGAGAACGAAAAACGAAAGGTGTGGGTACATACACCTACCGCGAGAATCAAATTACTATTTACCAATAAAAGCTCAATAACTCTACACCGAGAGGTGCACCAGGTGCTGATACACTCTCTCCGCAGATTATTTTTAAAACCAATAACCATCGAAAGACAAATGTACCACGTTCCATCTCAACACTCGAGCACATGCCATACATTTGAGATTATATTTTCTGTGTATAAATTTTAGGAAGTGTTCTGTATACATTTTTACTTTTATAGAAATAAGTAAAATTTAACAGAGAAGAATTTTAAAATCTAAGATATAATAATGTTATTAGAAATCAAAAATGAACAAGCAAATTATATTATAGTTACAATAAGAAAAAATATTGTTAACGAACTTATTTGTTTATGGGGTCTATTCTGTAAAAATTTGGTTAAAATTAACCCTGGGTTATAAAAATAACCGGATGTTATTTTTAATTTTGTCTTCTGTATTATTTGGTTATAAATTATAACTTATGTCAGTAATAAATCTAGTAATGATTACATGTTAAATATATTCTTTTTCTTATTTTTAAAGCTGCGTTGGGCTTAATCTCAATTCACTTTTAGTCGTTGCCATGTCAATTTTAACTATAACAAAATTAAATTGATGGAATAGCGAATAGAAATTTGGGTTAAAATTTAAATGTCATAGTTATAAATAACCTAGCGGTTACAATTAACTAAAACGTTACAGAATAGACCCCTATGAGTGATATTTTTAATGGTATCAAATAAATAACACAATATTTTCTGTAAAAAGTATGCAATCAAGAAAATTTTTTTACTAGACTTCATTTTCTGTAATTCTGGGATCGGAAAACAGTACGTAGACTTTTATATTGAAAAAAACTGTGTCTAAATATTACATTTATTTTGGTTTTGTTCAAAAACAAGTAGTGAATTATACAATTATAAACAGTTTCATACAAAACTTCTTTTAAACAGTAGTTTGATAACAGGGTGTTGGGTAAGTCACAACGTTACAAAATATACACAACCAAACTTATATAGAATCACTGTGTATTTCTGAATAAACTTTTTGTAAGGAAAAAATTTGGTATCCAACTTTAAGATAAGGCTTCTTGTTTAAAACAAACATGTTAATAAAGAAGAAACGACTGTTGCGAATTTATTATTTTGTGAATTGTGTGTTCAGAAGTAAAATTACAATCCTCCGGTAATTTTATTTCGATAAAAAAAACAACAAAATGCCTTATGTTGGACTAACAGATGTGCAGAGGGGAAGCATTATAGCTCTCATTGAACAAGGAATGCCTCAATAAAACATAGCAGAGGTAGTAGACGATACCCAGGGTGTTGTACTGAAAACAAATGAAAGGTACTTGGAACTAGAAAATCACAAGAACAGGCCTAGACAAAGTCGTCAAAGAGTCACAACTGAACAACAGAACCGCTTTGTGTACCAAATTGCTAGAATAAATCCCAGTGTTTCTTATCCAGAGCTATAACGACAACTTCGGGAAGCTACAGATGTGAACGTTTCAGTTGAAACCCTAAGAAAAAGACTTCGCGCTCAAGGGTTGTACAGTAGAACAGTAGGAAAGGGTTACGTGTCCCACCGTTATCTAGGTAAAATAAAATTGACCGGCTAAATTGGTGCCTTCAACACTAAAACTGGTCAATTGAGAATTGGCAAAATGTTATTTTTTCTGATGAGACTAGAATTGGCCTAAGATCAGATAACCATCGAATTCGGGTTCTCAGAGCTCCAGGAAAATGAGCGAGACTTCATACTGCCAGATCTGTCCTAAGATAACAAGGAGGAACTGTAATGTTCTGGGAGGTATTATGCTGTTACCACTTAAACTAACTTTAACCGGTCCGAGGTATGTTGATTTAGGCTAGAATCGATCGTTAGGCTTATAAGTTGCAAATAAATATTACTAATGTCAGGTAAGGGCTTCTATATTGCTAATGACATCTGTTATTGCACGTGATTGTTACTATTGTCAATGAGTTGAAACGTCATGTACCATTGACGCAGAATATACCAGTTTTTTACATCACTGCAACAACACATCTGACAAAGTCATCAAATGTTTTAGATTATGTCCCGAACAATAGGTATTTCCTTCTATAACGCTTATCCCACATCCGTGATTTACTAGGAAACAGTTTAAACAGCAAATTAAAAATATATTACTGGACATGTGTCTATATAACATTAAAGATTATTTTGTAAGAGGGAAACATGTCCCCTAATATTTTTAATGTTTCTGGAATTACTATTACCAACCCTTATGATCTTCTACGATCTTATTTTAAATTTCATGTTTTATGTATGTAAAATGTGGTATATTTTACCAGTATTCTATATCGATATTACTATTTAAAGCTATAAGTACGGACAATATAAAAATTTTTTATAGAATATATTTCTATATTGCTTAAGAGGGCTGCTATGTTGCCAAAGAGGTACCATATTGCCTTGAAGAGCTACTATTTGGCCAAAGACAGTTACTATTTTGTTAAAGAGATCTACTATATTGCCAAAGAGACACCATATTGCCTAACAAAAATTGTCATATTGCCTGTGAGGCCTGTCTATATTAGGTGCGTTACCAATCACTTTCGTTCTACGATAGATATCACTTCGTATCGATCCGTATCGTTTTGGAGCGTTTCATTTTTACGCTCCATTCTGCTGCGATCGCGAAATTTGAGCGGAAAAGCTCATAAAAACGACCTAAAACCCCTAAAACATACTTCGTTTTGAGTCAAATTATGTTTTAAGTTTTTCAAAAACTGTCCCTGGTGGTTTACCCTGTATGAGTGTTGCAATATTTTGTATGTTTCATCTTTCATCTTGCTAATCAACTCTTCTGCAGTAGTTCTTAGTCTTTATTTCTTCATAACTTTAACTTTCTTCTCAGTATCTTTAATAGTTCGAGTTTTTGTGGTATTAAAACATTGAAAATAGTGCAGAGTGGAATTGGGACTTACAAATTCAAATGTGACTGAGATATTTTTTATTTTACAATTCCATTCATGCAGGTCCTGAGAATTTTTGCTATGGGTTATTTTTTTGTCTAAGCTTTTTCTCTTATCCGTCGTTCTAGTGCATTTTCCTTCATAATCTTTAATAATATTAGAAAAGTTTGGCAAAGCCAGTCACAATTGTGGAATTCAAATGGATCGCGGTGAGGGTGTCGAAGAAGATATTTTAAATGCCGTAGGAGATGATCCTTCTACAAGTATCCGAAAATTGGCTGCCTAGTTTTATTGTCCAAAATCGACGGTCCCTAGAATCCTTAGACAGCAATAATTGTATCCATTTCCGCGAAGGATCGAATGTTCTAACTAGGTTTTAGAACGACACAGAAACGATGCAAATTTTTTGAGTTCAGTTCTGTTTACAGACGAAGCTGGATTTTCTAAACATGGTACCATAAACTTCTTTAATTTGTATTTGTTGGCAGAGGAAATTCCGAATGATTTTATTGTAGCGCATCATCAGCATCAATTTGAACACGTCAACAGGTGGGCCAGAATCATAGGACAACATTTATTTATATATTAGAAAATTATTAAAATAAAAAATCAGTAGTATCCATTATGGAACCATATCTCTGAAAAGTGGAGTCGTAGGAAACACATATAGGAACTTACATTACGTATTGTATATTTAAGGAATTTGTACTCTTTCTTTGTACGTACCATTATATAGAAACTTGAAGACACTGCGATATAGACAGTAGGCAGGGGTATTAAAGTTACAAGATTCCCAATTTACATCGTATAAACCAATTTTCCTTAATGTGAATTTTTATGTACCCCCGTAGTCATTCTATTTTCTACAACAAATCCTCGAATATTGATTAACATATTATAAAGAAATAAAACTTAACCCAATAAAAAGAAGAAGCCCTTTAATCCAATAACCTTACCATTACCATTAATCAATTTGCCTGAAAATTTTAAAGCAGTGCGTCAGTTAAGATGGAAGCATCTCAAGTGACAGACTGTCGATATTCTAATAAACTTCAAAATAGTTGTCGCAATTGATAATAATAAATAATAATGGAATGCTTTTTACGTTGCTATTTCGAATATTTTAATTCGTTACCTAGAAATACTTTGCACGATAGAAGAAAAAGGAAGCACATGGTTGATTATGTTAGTACTTTGATAGAAGGTTGTTCAAAAGGTAGTATAATAGATAGTTATTTTCATTGTAGTAGATTTAGAAACATCTCTGAATGGGTGGTGTATAGATTACAATCCAAACTTGGTATCTAAAAAAAATTAGATAAGTAATGTGAGGGTAAACTGCTTTGCTAAAGGCAAAAATTTAAAGTGAAAGATACTGACAATTAAACAAAGTATACAATGATATACTTTTGCTGCGTTTGAATATCCACATCGGATGCATATGATATGTTGTGAATTTTTTATCACGTGACAGAGGATTATAATTAAATGTAGATCACATACTTTGATTACTATACGAGCCAAGAGAGAGGTCCGCCACGCCCAACATAGGGCGCGGCCATTTTGAACCCTGTGTCACAGTTTACAGCTAAATAATCAGATCGCTCACTCTGCGTCGGCACTTTGGATCTCAATGTTTTAGTTTATACATTGTGCAACTCGGATAATACAATATATGACAACCGCCCATAATAAAACGGCAGTCTTCTGCGTATCCTGAATTTGTATCCCTGGAGTGGATGTTATTTTAGAACTTTCAACTGGTCCGAGTGAGCTAACTGATTCATTAGCAATAAACTGTGACTTCAAAAATAATATTCACTGACACTGACAGCAGCAAGCAAAATATCAGGTGCGTTTTAATCATCCGCTTCTGCTTCCGGAATTGTCGGTTTAGTCGTTTTAACCTGTCAGATTAAAACAAGAAAACCGACAATTCCGAAGCAGAAGCGGATGGTTAAAACGCACCTATTAAAAATATTGCGCCAAGATGTAGGCAACACGTAATAAGGGTTCAAAATGGCGGAGTTTTCTATCTCCTTTTAAAAGGCACTTAGAAAGCTGCGCAGTGCGGCCATTCTCCGTTAAATTAAATAAAAATTAAAGTATGTGATGTAGATGCAATAAACAAACTCTTTAGACGTAGTAAAAGTAACAGTGACAAGTTAGAAGTTTAACTTTTTGCGTTTATTTGTACAGTGAAATGGCTAAAACTGGTTTATATGCGCCTTTTAATATTTATACTATTCTTTATAACCTCAACGAATCAAATTTTAAACTGTTAATTAAGTTTTGAAACATTTTTAAAATTAATTTGTAATACCTTATATATGTTGTACTCCTGTTAAAACCGTTTACATCGGTTAATACTAATATTAACTTTTGTAAATGGTTTTCTGGAATCTTATGAGTTGTCTGGGTAAATTGTTCTTTAGAACATAGCCCAATAAAAGAATAAAGAAAAAGAAGAAGACTTTTGAGACTAAAAATCAACCTAAATTTGAAATCTAAATAAAAATTAAACAAACTAATCAGGCTAACATAAACAAACGATAAATCGATAAACTTTGACATGGAACGAACATCTCATTCACATCCCATTTTAAATCGGGATGTGAAAAATGTAATCTGGACAGCTACATCTCGAATAAACAAACTCAGATGCAGATGTAGTAGACGTGTCCGATATGAATAAACAAACGCTCGAGATGTAAAAAATGCATCAGATGTGGACATTTAGATGCAGCATATCCGTATACACAAGCTAGTTATAATAAATGACAGATAGGTAGACTTATCCTATAATAAAGTTAACAATATTCTTTTAAACGAAATCTTTAAGATATGTATTGGACAAAATTTTACAACTAGATCATTATTATTATTAAAAAAATTGTAAGATGGCCTAATTCCTTCTCTACATGTATTCAGTTACTTACATTCAATGAACTATCTTTTTTTTAAGTTGAGATTAATGCAGACGAAAGTGCAAGAGAAGCAATTAAAACAATCCTTAAATATCACGAAGAAAATAAAGATGATAACGGCAAAATTTGTAAGATGGGCAAATACCACAACATCCTATATATAGCCGTGAAACTCTGCTACGATTGGCAGGTTAAAGATGCCGGAACGGTAATTTTTATCGGGTAATTTTCTAACCTAAAAAAAAGATGTTGGGCGCCACTTTGTATTATTCAAATTAAATTTATTATGACCCTCGCAATAACTAATACTCTTTTTGTTGTTTTATAGGTTAGCGCTCTTTTGGAGGAGATTTACATTTGCGAAAAAACGTTCGAACGAATAATGATTGGAGCTATTTTCGGAAATAAAGCTCCGCACTATATAGCCGGATGGAAAAGCGATTTCGAAACTGAAGAAGAAAATCTCAGGGCAGTGGTTTATTTTTTAGATAAGGCCAATAGCGCCAGACTCGAACTTTGCTTCGGATCCGAAAGTGTGGAGAATATGTATAGGTTTATTGATTTGCCTATTGAGAGTTGTGGGAAAGCGTCAGCTTTAAAGGTAAATAAATAGAATGATAATAATGCAGATTATACAGACTAATTAATTAAATCAATTTAAAATTGAGCTGACTTATAGAGAAATTGATTCTAGACAAAAAATATTAATATACGTTTATAAACTATTAAACCTTTAAAGCATATGTGGGCACTTACTTGCTACTCGCTGACAACAACCAAATGAGTCTATAGGTAAATATTTACGGATTCTTAGAAGATTTAAAGCTATAACTGCAGAACAAAATAAGAAAGATTATATTAGAGATGGTTTTATAGCAGGTTTGTCTTCCAATTTTATTCGACAAAGATTATTAGAAGAAATTATTATGAATTTGGAAATGACCTTTAATAAAGCATTGTCACTAGAAAATGCCCAACTGCAATCTTCTAGTTTTTCTCCTTCAAACTCGTTAGTAAACGCTCTTGGTTCTAATCGTGACTTGAATAACCCTTTTCTCATAGACAGAAAATATTGTTGCAGCTTCCAAATTTAAAAATTTTAAATGTTTTTTTTTTTTTGGTGGGGGTCCAAAACACCAACGGCAAAAATGTCCTGCCTCAAATGTTATTTGTAGAAATTGTCAGACACGTGGTAACTTTTCTAAAGTATGTAGAGGAAAAAATATTAGTAGTAAAACTGCTGCGTCACCAACTACTGCGTCACTATCTACTGCATCAGCTGATATTTTGGCTCACATAGTATCTACTGCGTCCAATGGTGGTTTAGAGAAAGCTATCATCCCAGTAAAAATAAACAACTAACAGGCTGTGTTTAATAGATACTGGAAGCCCCTCTAGTTTTATAAATCTTCTGTTGATTAAACAATGTAAAATCCCGATAATGCCTTTAAATGAAAAAGTTAACATGGCTTCTATATCATTAACTTCGCAAGGTGAAGGAAGTGGAAATGTATATATATTAATTATTAAGGAGTTGTGTGCGGACGTCATATCATAATCGGTTATGATATCCTCAAAAATCATCAGTCACTCGAAATATACTTTAGAGGATCAATAAACCCCCTTAAAATATACAGTGTGACGGCTCATCTATTTAATAAACTCTCTCCGGATTGTAGATCAATTGCCATAAAATTAATTAAACATTCTCCCGATAAAGTGAACAATCTTCTTCTTGGAGGTGTAATCGAAGAGAGTAAGTCTTCAAGGCTTGCACAACTCCTAGTCACAAAAAGTTCAACTCATAAGAAAAGGATGGTTATAAATTATGCTCAAACGATATATCATTTTACAGAATTGTATGCGTACCTCCTACCCAATATAGAGGATCTAATATCTAAAATATCTAAGTATTCATTTTTTAGCACAATTGATTTAAAAAGTGCATACCATCAAATACTAATTTGTAAAAAAGACCCTATACGGCCTTTGAAGCAGGTGGAAATCTTTATCAATTTTTACGAATTCCATTCGGGGTTACCAATGGGGTGGCAGCCTTTCAACGGGTTATTAATTCAATTATTCAAAAAGAACAACTTCAAGGAACATATTCATACTTAGATGATGTAACTATTGGTGATGAAACTCAAAATGAACCTGACATTAATCTCAGCAGATTCTTAGAGATGGTAAGAAAATATCAGTTAATATTAAATGAAGAAAAATCATTTTTTTTTTAACTTCAATCAACGTTTTGGGCTATAATATAGAAAACAATACAATAAGACCAGATCCCGATCAATTGCGTCCAATGCTTGTGCTGAATTTTCCCTCTAATCAAACATGTTTTCCCATTATGCAAAATGGATGCCTAGATTTTCTACTTTAGTACAGCCACTTATTCAATGTAAAATATTTCCAATTTCCTCAGAAGCTGCAAATTGTTTTAATACAATCAAGTCGAACATAGCCAAAGCGTTTGTTTCCGCAACTAATGACAAACTTCCATTTGTTGTGGCAACTGATGCCTCAGAATTCGCTATAGCTGCCACACTATCGCATGACAATAGACCGGTGGCGTTCTTTTCGTGCACTTTATCAAAAACAGAAAAAAGACATTCTGCTCTTGATAAAGAGGCTTATGCCATTGTGGAAGCGCTTAGAAAATGGAGGCAATATCTCATTGGTCGACCGTTCACTCTTATTATTGATCAGAAATCAGTACCATTTATGTTTGATGCTAAACACCCAGGAAAAATTAAAAATTACAAAATTTTAAGATGGCGATTGGAACTTTCCAGCTATATATATGATACTGTTTATCGTCCTAGCGAATTAAATAATATTTGTGACACCTTATCAAGAGCTGAAAACCTGACAAACGTATGCGCTAACGCATCGCCAATATATGGAAATAGTCTTATTGAACTACATAAATCACTATGTCATCCTGGGATTACTTGTATTAGTCACTGGGTACGATTAAAAAATCTACCATACTCTATTAAAGAGATTAGAAAGATAATACTATCCTGTTCCGTTTGCTCTGAAGTTAAACCAAGCTTCTATAAAATTCAAAACAATTTAATCAAGGTTACGAAGCCTTTTAAAAGACTTTAAATCTACCTTCAACAACTCATAATAAGTATCTTCTTACTATAACTGATGACTATTCACGATTTTTCTTTGCCTTTCCATAACATTAATCAAGTCTTTTCTCTCTCTTTGGGTTACCAAGCTATGTACATTGAGACAGATGCTCAGCTTTTATGTCGCAAGAATTGAGGGAATTTCTACAATCTAAAGGATTGGCGACTAGCCGGACGACTGCTTACAATTCACAAGGTAACGGCCAAATAGAAAGAGAAAACAGAATAATTTGGATAACAATTAAGTTAACTACCATAAGCCCTAAAAATTTCTTAATGGGAATTAGTCCTTCCGTAAGTTTTACACTCTATTAGATCCTTGCTATGTACTTCTACCAACACAACGCCTCATGAAAAAATGTTTCTTCACAGTAGAAGATCAACAAACGGACAATCATTACCTTCATGGCATCTACTCCTGGAACTGTCTTCATGAGGAAACACAATCGTTCCAACAAATATGAACCATTTGTAGAAGAAGTGAAACTTCTAGAGGCTAATCCGGATTATTCTTATATACGCTTAAGAGATGGAAAAGGAACAACTGTATCAAATCGACATTTGGCGCCTAAAGACTAAACTAAACACCACCTGCACCACCCCGATGCTCTTTTGAAATTGATAAAATTTCAGAAAACTATTCCACGCCTGAATCTCGTACCGCTTATTCTGAGGAACCGTTGTCAACATCTCTGATAGGTGTAGACGAAGAAAATACCGATGATATAAATTCATGTGACAACCAACTGAGACGATCGAAACGAACTAAAGAAAGTATTTAAACGATTACTCTATCGTTTTTGAAGGTGGAAGAATGTGGTATAAATTATATATAAGTTGTTAATATTATATCACTCTGTATTTTTTTTTGTGTCATCGGCATCAACTATTAAGGTTATTCTGTATTGTTTTAATTTATAATTATTGTCAGTTACCAATTTAGTTGTCATTTTGTACATACGCTCTGTTTTTGTGGAATAAAGCCATTTATTCTGGGTTTTCTCTACAAGTCTCTTACTAATTTTCATTTGAGTTTTCTATCTTTTGTTATTAACTTGCTTTTTTATGTTTGGTTGAGCATCTTTATCTTTATATTATAAGCAGGTAGGGTTAGGTTTGGCCTAGAACACTGCGGCCTCTTGAGTTTATTGTATTCCCCTGCTTTCCTGGTATTCAGGTGCTATCTTTGGAATAGTCCTGTGTCTTTGGTTAGTTTTAATATATTCCCTACCTAGTGTTCCTGGGGGGTTCTTTTCGGATTATTTACAAATACCCTATCTTTGAGATAACCTCATAACCAAAAGTCTGGAATATTGGCGGATATGTAATATCGGCGTTTTTCGTCATGTGATCTAATCCCATATTTAATAAAGAATCATTTACTTCATATGTTATTCTGGTATGTTTTGTATGTCTCAGTGGGTTTCAGTTGTTGGAGGTTTCCAGTCTGTATGCACTCATTCTGGCCTCCCCCTTTATGACTAGGTCAAGGGGTGGGAGGTTTAGAATTATTTCCACAGAGGCTGTCGGTGTACTTCTCAGTGCTCCTGTAATATAAAGGAATGCCAGCCTCTGAACTCCTGAGAGGGTATTGAGGGCTGCTTTCTGGTTTACTTTTGGCTTATTTGAGCATAATCAATATGCTGTTATATTTAATAAATAAAAAATAAGTGTGAATTTTTTTCGCTGCTACCTACTTATTTCTTGCCTATGGCCCGCGATCTAATTAAGTCTTCAAATAACGCCCTCAGCTAAGCAAAGGTTGCCCATACCTGCTGTAAAGCTTCCACTATGATTATAATAAATAACTAGAGATCTTAAATAGATTCCTGAGGTAAATTTATTTAAACAGATTCCTTTTGTAGGTTTGTGTTCAACTGGGTCTACCAGACAAACTTCTTATATTTCTTCGTTTCGGAGCAAAAGTCTACATAGAAAACGAAGATACAACCATATTCGAACACATCTTAAATCGTCTTTTGGAATTCAACCACGTTTACCCTTACAACTTGGTCTCCTGCTTGCAACTGCTCTTAAGAGCTTGTCCCAGAATTAAAATCGATAAGCCCAAAGAATTATCAGACTCCGATTATAAAGTTTTATGCGAAAAAATGTACGAAAGGTATTCAGTGCTAATAGAAGATGGTTTAATTCCTTTAACCCGATGTGGAATTAGTCCACCAGAATTAAAACATCTCTGTAGATGCGTGATAAGAAGAAAACTTTGGGACAACTACGAGTTACCGAATGGGATCAGAGTTTTGCACGTTCCAGAAAAACTGTGGCGGTATTTGGATTTGTTGGATGATTAATTGTTTTAAGGTTTAAATAGTTGTTAGTTCTCAATAAAAAATGTATTAACATCGTTTCCTTTATTAGCATCAATAAAAGTTTTCAGCTGGAAGATCAAAAATCTAATAACTTGCCACTCGACAAATATAAAATTTTTTCCTTATCAGTTTTTATAAAGGAAGCTGTGTGCTACCTGTTTTAGGGTCATCATTCTTCGACTTCCGCCAAATGTAAATCTCACTGATACAATGATCTACTCGTAAAAGGGTTAATTAAAAAGGTGCCATATGTTTTTAATAACCATCTGCTTCCGTACGAGAACACACATTTGTAATTTTTTTGCTAAAATTGTTTATGGCTCTTTGATTTATATCGCAACATTTTCAAATTTAAATTTTTACTGTTTAGGCAATGTAACTTTTATAAAATATAGATATTATTAAGAAATTACATTGAGAGCGCTTTTAAATTCCTTCCAGTAACTTTATCAGCTGCACCTGTTTACCAGTAGTACTTCCTGGATGTACAAAATTTTCCGAATAACTAACATTTTTTATAGTTCCCGTCGACCTGGAAACCGTGTTTATGTTTAAACTCTAAAATCGGTGTCAGAGCAAAGAATCTGACGGGATAAAACAATATACAAAAGATGGTGAACTTCCTCTTCGCCTATAAGTGAAACACTCACGCGTGCACAACACAAGCCTGGAAAAGAAATGTGAAACAAGAAATACTTTTTACATATAGGGCGGGGCAATTATTTTACTAAAATTTATTAGGATTATTGTACTTTCTTGATGATATAAACGTTGTTAGTGGAATCAAATTAAATATTTATTATTCAATTTTAACTAATTATCTGTATACAGTGTAAATCATAACTATGTAATCAAACGTCGAGAGGTTAAATGCAATAATAGGAAACATTTGAGTTCCAGAAACAATGTCCCAAGGCCCAACTCAATTTTGTTTGACATATAATCAATATTTTTTTTTAGGTTAGTAAAATTGGATTATCGATTTTTCATTCGAAGTAATACAAGACGTCACTTTAAATTTCTCTTTATGTCAACAAATATGTAACACGATGAATTTAATAAAACGTATGTCATTAATGAATATGTGGCGGCAACTGACGCTACTAGAGTACACACAGGTCCGGTATAAGCCATATAAATGGAAAATAATAATTAAAATGTTTTGATTGAGTTAAATAAAATATCAAAATTAAACATTTTTATTTTTAAGTAAACATTTTTAAAAAACATCTTCAATCAAAAATAATATAAGCGAGATAATATTACACTTTGCTTGAGTTTTTTGTATTAAACCATCGATCATTCTAAAGAAGAATAAAATAGATTTGTGTACCAAGGCTGTGTTTTGGCCGAATTAGACAATTGCGACCGAGGCTAAGCAACTTCTGGTTAAGTATAAGAGTAATAAACAAAAAACGTATGTTCAATCAAGATTGACATCGATATAGATTGTAGATAAACAGGTGTACTGGATACTGGAGATTTATTTATTTATTTATTTTTATTTATTTGTTTATTACCATGCTCTACAGGCAATCCCAATTACAGAGCAGGAACAAAAGAACACATAGAGATGAACTTTGCAGGACCCAGAGCATCAGATAGGTATAACACTTGATATTCTAAAAACTATGCATCATACTTCACTGAATAAAAACGAATGGAAGTGTCAGAAGGAGGCTGAAGTCAAAAAATAGAAGGAACAGAGCTGAATAGATATATAAGTAATATTTTAGCCAGGAGAGAGTCGATGAATGTTAAATATGATATATTTATGAATGTATTAATGTATAATTTATTTTTATTTTTTGGTATAAAACTATGGCTGACATAATAAAACTCTTAAAAGTATATACATTTTCAATCTTTATTACTATAAATTATTTAGTTTTCATTTATTCTCCCTGTCCTAGAGAAACGGTTAGAAAACCCGGATCATAATTGTTGACAATGTTGATATTCCTAATGATACAAAACATTACATAGGTATGATACTAAGCCGATGAAATCTCATCGAGTTCACGCACGGTCTCGTGGTATTGTGGTACGGATTATATCTATGATGAATATGCAGATTAAAATTTATTTTTGCGCACTGTTTTCGATCTACTGATACCTCAAATTCGTACAAGCCACATCTTCTCACCACAATGTGATGTAGCATCAAATATGGTTATTCTCATACCATTTTTATAAGTATCAAGGATATGCCGTGGGGTGGCTGATCATCATGTTTCAATTGAGTCATTGAACCTAAAAAATAACAAATATTAATTAAAAGAATTCGGAATTTATTATAAAAACATTTTTCTTTAGGAATTATATAGCATGTCTCGTTAATATACTGACAAACTTTTGAAGGTGGTAGGTGCATCAAAATAAACAATTTTTACATAATGAACATAATAATATGTCCGAAAATGCTTCGTTTTTGAAACACTTGTTTATTAAGCAAAAAAGTTTATTTTGATGTCTCCTCTACCAGCCTTAACAAGTTTGTCGGTATATTTACGGGACCATTTGTTTATTTAAATCTGTAGGTACTCATCAGTTTCTTGTTTAGAACTAAAAATATAATAAAACATAGTTCAGAAGTTACAGGGAAACTATTACTGAAAAAATTATAGTTATTACAAAATACATTATTGGCAGGTTGTAAACTCAGTTTAGCTAACAGGAGTTTATTATATTATATTATCGATTAATTTACTAATTTTGTTTCATTGTATAAATTAATTTAGTAGAATACTTTCATAACCGGCAGATAAAAAGATAGTTATATACATTGCAACAAATCTACAAAAAAATTGATTTGCACATTTCTGAGCGCTCCTCTTTATCTTTAGAGGTTCAAGAGTTATTTACATTTAACAATTATTGAATTGTCCTTTTTCCCCTGACTAACAGGCGCATCCACCAAGAAAATATAATTTACATTTTTATGTAACTTTACGATAAGAATAAACACATCGACCAGACACACGCGGCAACATAAAAATTCCAACCTATGACAAGTTGAATTCGTCGAGGCCAACTCAAGCTTGATTTCCTCCAATCGTTTCAGTGGTCAAGGAATAAATTCAGGAGTCTTGTATTTTTGCCAAATTTTCCAACAGGTTTCGTTTGACGTTATTACTGGGATCTATGAACGGAGAACCGTCGAAATATGTTCGTCATCGATTCTCATACCACGTTCATACGAACGATGTATTTTTAGATACATTTGAAACTATTTTCAATAAATATTTCTTGCTTTAGTTCTGTTAAAGCTTTAACTTAAGTGCATAAAACCGGGACTCAACACGTATCTTTAAAGAGAAAATCTCAAAAAAAAGAAAACTTAAATTTACAATTTTTTAACAACTTAACATTCTTTACAAAAATAAACAGCCAGCATCGGCAAATGTTGTATAGTACAGTATATAGTACAGTATATAGTACAGTATATAGTACAGTATATAGTACAGTATATAGTACAGTATATAGTACATTATATAGTACAGTATATAGTACAGTATATAGTAGAGTATATAGTACAGTATATAGTACAGTATATAGTACAGTATATAGTACAGTATATAGTACAGTATATAGTACAATATATAGTACAATATATAGTACAGTATATAGTACAGTATATAGTATAGTATATAGTACAGTATATAGTACAGTATATAGTCAGTATATAGTACAGTATATAGTACAGTATGTAGTACAGTATATAGTACAGTATATAATACAGTATATAATACAGTATACAGTACAGTATACAGTATAGTATATAGTACAGTATATATTACAGTATATAGTACAGTATATACTACAGTATATAGTATAGTACAGTATATATTACAGTATATAGTACAGTATATTGAGTAGAAAATTAGGAATACTTCACCTAGTACATTACCTTGAGGTACTCCTTGATTTCTCTCAGTTCTGAGTAGGTTTCTTTCGGTTCTATTCTGAAATACCTTTCTGATAAATTGTATTTCAATAGTTCTGAGTATTGACGTGATAGGTGATGTATATTTAACTGACTTTATACTCGTATATTGACACAACAGACAAACGAGTTCTTTATAGTATTTTTAGACACCTATATTGACAACAATAAGAGTTCAACTAAAAATATTGATCATATGCGTAAAATGTTAAATAAAAGCTACTATGCAGTAAAATAATATCTTTTCTACACCCACGTGCATATTAGCTAATCTACGCACAGATTACAAAACGAAATAGTATGCTATTGAGTTCAACTGAACGAATATATTTCATATCCATTCTAAGTAGTGAGAATACTGCAAAAAAATTAAACCCACGAATCATATTTTTTAGTTATTCAGAATAAATATATATTATAATGTGTTATTTTTGTGTAGAATCGATAAATAATAGCATTTTTATTTTTATTTGGTCCATATTTTGAAAAAAAAATTAAATTTAAAATGAAACTAATTTAATTACGAGTATTAAAACTAAAATCCTAAAAGTGATGGTGGAGATGAGGACAGAGCATCTGCCTTCCACGGGAAATGCCCAGTATCGAATCTGGGCTGGCTACTAATTAATTTAAATCTTTTTTTTCATGTTCATTTTATTTTATAAATCAGTAAAATTTATGAATTATTTTAAAAATAGTTACATGTAAAATAATCAAAAAAGGAATTAATAAAGCTTTAATTTTATTATTATTTAATATAACTTTATGTACCCTATCCCCTGTATGCCAACACAAAATTTGTATATATTTTCTTTAAAAATATTCTTATTAACCACAAAAAATATGCTTATGAATGGATGCAACACTTCAATCGGATGGAACACTTCAATCCAGGAGGGCCAATTGAGAGATTAAGTCATCGTTTAATTTACAGGGCCGTACAAAAGATCACAAAGTAAAAAGTATTAAATTAAATGAAAGGCATTTAATTAATTTTATTGCACATTAATTCAGAAGTTTTATAAAAAAAACGCTAAGTATTAGCATTATTTTACATTTTGTTTTTAATATAAATTTCATGCTCCTTTGACATTACGGTCTTAAAAGGCACATCTGCAAAAGAAAGAATCTGAGAATCCCAGACTATATTGGGATTTCTTACTTTTAGTTTTCATCTAGTGCTGAATCTAGGTCTATGTCTGGGTCTAGGTCTAGGACTGGGTTTATTAAGTCTGACCAAAAAAGCATAGTTTCACAATAGATCTGAAATTAAACCAGTAGACGAATCCAAGAATCCAACTCCTACAAAAATCTTATCTACCAACGACAAATTAAACAATCTGATGTGTCCAACACATGACTTTCCTTTCTAGTGATACGCATTGGCTCGACGATATCTACAATTTTATCCAAATCGAAGGCAACCGAATCACAATCTGTTTAGAAATATATACAACCGCCTTGGCGAGACAGGGTCTTTTTGTCCTAAGGGTCACAATGGTGCAACAAAAAGAGTCACTGTTAATGAAGAAGAGCTCGTGTTTTGCAAAGTCCAGATGTGAGTACTCGTCGGTTAGGTACAGAAAAAGGGATAAGCCCGCTATCTGTAGAATTTTACAAAATAAAAACTCGATTCATATCACTTTACTCCTGTCCAAATTGCTCAATTTTTACAGGATAAACTAAGGGGAAACCAAAATTTCAATATTTTTTTCATTGATAAGGCAACCTTCACTAGACGAGTTTTTAATTGGAAATATAATCATTTGTGGGATTCCGAAAACCAAATGCTGTAACAGAAATATATTTTTCAGCATGAGTTTAAGGTGAACATTTCTGTCATGCAATGGTAAAAGCTAGTAAGTCAGTTTTTTGATGTTGTTTAAGTTTTGCTATAACTAGACGTATTTTTCTTTACACTTACTACTCAACCCATAACTGCTACCAAAGCCGAAATCCTACGAAAGACTGACCCAATTAAGACTACATTAATATTTCAAATGTATCTACTACACGTCAAGGTGCCTTGGTTATAAGTTGTGATAACAAAGACTATTCAAGATTCCAGCAGATTATCAACACTAATTTGGGCGACAAATACGAAATAAAGTTTATGTTTTCTCTACATTGGCGCATTAAAGTCACGAACATGTCTAAAAAATTTGATGATCCCATTCTACTGGACTATCTTAAATCCCAAAACAGATGCTGCTTTAACGAAAACTCTACCAAGGGAATTATACATGAAAAAACGAAAAAAGCAATTGTCCCTTATTCCTTTGTCTTCCAAAGATTGTAAAAGTAAGTTATGGCTGACTGTATCAAACGCTTTAGATAGGTCTATAAAGATACACAAAAATGGCTTAGTTTCATTAATTGGTCGAATTATTTCAGATGTTAAGGACAATAAATAATATACAAATATTAGAAATTAAAAATTAAAAAAAACCGACTTCAAAAACGTGCAGATGCCATCTCCACATCTTAACCAAATTTATATGGAACCATCCCTGAGGTACCCCCTTATTAATAAAAAAAGAATCATATAAATCGGACAAGGTGGTAAAGCATTATCGCTAAACATACATAAAAAATGAAGAGTTTGAGGATTTTCTCATAGACCCAATTATTAGGTTTTGACCAAATTTATATGGGACCACCCCTGAAGTACCTCCTTTTTATCAAAAAAAGAATCATTGAAATCGGACACCGTATTAAAGAATTATCGCTGAACATACATAAAAAAAAAATATTGCTACAAATTGAGAACCTCCTCCCTTTTTCAAGTCTGTTAAAAATCAATATTATCAATCGTTGGGTAATCAAATTTGTCTTTGTCACCAGTTAATTGTAAAATCAGCCATTTTGTAATACTGTTCATGTATGTAAAACTGAACAATAATGTTAAATAATTTTATAAACCTACTAAAAAATTATGAATTTATGTAATTTCTTCTGTGTAAATACTATATTATGGGTAAATTAAAAGTCTTTTTACTTTTATAGTGAAGAAAATAAAATCTAAAACTCAATGTAAAAAAAGTACGATAATGGATACAATGTACGATATTAACAAGCAGTCAGCATTAAAATCTCCTGCAAAGCCATAAACCTTCTTGAACTCGTGTTACGACAGATGCGTTTGCACGTACGTACCTAACAGCAGCGATTTCAGTAAAACGGTCCTGAAAAATCCCGACAGAAGACTTTCAGCGTATGTTCTGTACAGTACAGCATCCCTCCCCTACTACCTGAAACTTGGCACGCGTCAAGAAAAGTAAATATAGAACAGCTACTTGGTCCGCTATGAGCCAGTAAGCCCTTAACCACTCCTGAAAACACTCTTAGCTGAAAAATCAAGAGTGCGCGCGTCGACTGATCCACCGACTGACAGACGCGACTTGTCAAAGTCACATTTTGATTATTATTTATCGAAAACTTATTGTTATTGATGACTACCTGTTGAGTTTGCGCGGAAAGAGCAAAGTGCTGGCTGAAAGAACTGTTTAAGTGGTCGCGGAGCTGCTGAAAGGACTTTGAGGTATGCCGCGAGCTTTTTTGTATACTCATCGCAGGTATAACTGCCAGGAGGAGGAGGAGCAAAAAGGTAGGTGGTGATTTTAATGTGTTTTGAAGTTTTCTGGTATTGTTGTGCCAGTTTTAGGATAAATTAATGCAAAAATTATGCTTTAATTATGTTTAGTAAGCGTTTCTCAAAATGCATCTATTTTAAAACCTAGACTAACTACGCGATTCTTTTTTCATGATTGTGCGTTTTTACGCCATTTCCATAATTTTGACAACTTGGTCTTTTCATTTCCTAAATGTGCCAAATGCTTTTTTAATAAAAAATAACATGGTTTTAAGACAACCAGTAATATCATCTTTATGTTATGCATATATTTTTTTTTATAAAAATACGTATTAGTAGAAACATGTTCATTCTTTGAGGTTAAGGTATTTTAAATTTTATGTTTTCCTTTGTACACATTTGTTATAGGTCTAGCTATATAGAAGAAAAACTCTATTTTTCCAAGCATATCATAAACTTAAAAGAGTATTTGATGAAATGGTACATTTTTTAAATAGAACAATGATACCTCTTTTGAAACATCTTTCAAATATCTATCAAGCATTAACAATAAGGTTGGGTGATTGAGTTTTGTGTAACTGTGTAAGTTTTATTATTATATTAAATATTGTTGCTTATTAAGTTTTATTGACGTTTACAGCAAATGTTTATATTGACTACCACCAACTAGAATAAAGTGAGAAACACGAACCTTTTTTATTTGCGCCATTTCCATTCAAATACGTTTTTTTAGTTTTGGGTCATCTAAATTTTGTATTATACTTTATCTTTATAGTATCGTTGTTATGGACTATTTATTCTATCTTCTTTTGTTCGTACTCCTACTTATGACGACCACAGGCTACTGCGGGGTGCAGGGTAACCCATAAAAAGTAATCTAATGGAGTTAAATCTGAAGAACTAGGTGGCTTTTTAATTGTCCACTAATATTGAAAGATGTTATACACATAGATTCTTATCAATACAGCATTATGAGGGTGCACACTTTCTTGCTGAAACCACAAATCGTGTATGTTTGGAAACAATCGATTTAGTTCGGGAGCAAGTAATAATCGAGAACCCGCTAAAATTTGATCGAAACAAATAATTGTCCTGTAAACCTATACAGGGTGTCCCGAAATTAGACGGTCATATTTTAACAGCGTAATCTACATTCTAAAATAGGAGTAAAAGTTTATAGAAACATAGGTCCGAAAACGTTTCGTTTCCGAGATACAGGGTGATAAAAGTAAAGTCATGATGACACATTTTTGTAAATATTTTCTAAATGTTTATACGTAACTAACTGAAATTTGGTACAAATGCTACACTTTTTATGCTCTATTTAATGAACTAAACCCAGTTTTTGATCATCATCATAGGTGGATAAATTAGGGATGCTTACGGTAAAATTGCCCTGTAAGTTTTTTTGTTAACAGTTTTTAATATTTTTGACTACAAAGTGTGAAAAACCAATATTTTCTTTATAATAAAGTTATTTTTCTTGCATCTCCCTAGAACGCACTATTTTCAAGAGAAAAGCATTTGAAAATTTCTTTAAACTTAGGGCAATTTTACCCTGAGGTCCCCTAATTTACCCACCTATGAAGATGATTAAAAACTGGGGTTTAGTTCATTAAATAGAGCGTAAAAAGTTTAGCATCTGTAACAAATTTCACTTAGTTATCAACATGGTCTGGCAAAAAAAGTTTAATTTTTTGAATTATGTTGTCAATATGACCCAATAGTGGTAAAACTATTTCATGAATTTTTGAAAGAAATTCAATAATATTTGTTTGTACATAAATAAAACGTCTTTTATCATCATTTTCTTTAAAATAAGTAAAAGTATCGATGGTCTTCTAACATGTCTGTAAATTAACTTTACACTCTTTGAAGTCAAAACTATTAAGTTTCTTAATAAACCCTGCAACATAACTAGTGGCGTAACTCAAATTCTGCTTCATTTATTAATTTTGTATACATTACTAAAATAAACTGACTCTGTTTGGAGGTGTGATAACAATATTACTAAGTACTACTATCTGGTGTATCTAGTTTATCTGGTTTTGAGGATGCTAAAGCAAGGCAAAGCAAATCTTTTAGCAGTCTTGAACTATTTGTGTTTGTAAACGATTTTGTATCAAAATATGATTTGCACATAATGTATAATGATTGGTTGTAAGTGGAATGTTTAAAATACGACACAATTCCTTTCTTTGATCAATATCAGAAGGAAATTTAAAAATTTTGTTCTTAAAATTTACGTTTGAAATAGGCCTTATAAAATGTACTATAACAATTAGAAATTATGCGTTTATAATGAATTCTGCCTGGTAAAGACATGTTAAAGCATCAAAATACCTTTACTTGATTTTAAATAATCCTAAATATCTAAAACAATAAAAGTAGTCCCACTCACATGTTTTCGTCGACAACCAAAACCATAACATAACCACACATTTGTTTGATTTTGATGTTATTTGTTGACAGCGCGCGCGGGGCCCGCTATAGCGGGCAGCCAGCAGTCATGCAGCGGACAGAAAGCCATCTTCACATAGTACAAATAACTAAGTGAAGGCATGTTTTCTTTAATTTGTTGTAATATATGAATTAAACTTTTTGAAACAACACTTTTTGTGTGTTACTGAACGAGATGTTATTAAATTAATCAATGTGCTTTACATTTTAATACAATTTTGCTATTGTAAAAGGGACTTCAGAGCACCCAAGCGCGGAGTTGCATGCGCAGAAACCTGTTTACGTATTGTGCATATGATATAAACCCCCGTGGTAGGTACAGACAACGCAATCTTAGGCGCGAATACAAGGAGGCAATTACATTATTACCCCCCTCCCTCCTACCCCCCAAGCTGCTCGAAGAAATCCTGAAATTTGATAAATTGTAACCTCGAGATTTTAAGAAAAGACAAGGTGTATAACATTATTTAAACTACACTCCGAATAATCTTCTCCGATCCGAGCTTGCGCAGTTTTCAAAAATTTTAAGAGATATTTCTGTAGCCGGATTAATATTTATTTTTATTAACTCAAATATATCCATTAGTTCCCTCAATTTAGTTTTAGTTAGAACAAAGGTCAAAGGTTGTCTGATTAAATTTACCTATACAGGGTGTTTCTAAAATCATGCGACAAAATTCAGGAGCTGATTGCTCGTATGAAATTAAGATGGGTCTTTCCTATAACAAAATTTCCTCAGCCCACCCCTTTCCAAGATATCACCCTTAAAAAAAGGTGATTAAAATTGAGTTTTTATTTTTTTTTCTAAAATTTCAGCAAAGCTAGAAACTGGAAATTTTGTAATTTTCATGCACTCGCAAAGGACTAACTACGTGTATTTTTTTAATATTCGTGTTACATTATAGGGGGGTGAAATTAGCAACCCTTACTTTAGTTCATAAAACTTCATCTCGAAAAGAAGTTTTAATATGAAATAAAGTAAGAGTTGATAATTTCATCCCCCTATAATATAATAGGAATATTGAAAAAATACCCGTGGTTAGTCCTTTGCGAGGGCAAGAAAATTAAAAAATTTCAAGTTTCTAGCTTTACTGAAATTTTAGAAAAAAATAAAAATTCAATTTTAGTCACCCGCTTTTAAGGGTGATATCTCGGAAAGGGGTGGGCTGAGGAAATTTTGTTATAGAAAAGACCCTTCTTAATTTCAATATTTTTCTTAATTGCAATATTTTTTTATGTATGTTCAGCGATAATTCTTTAACACGGTGTCCGATTTCATTGATTCTTTTTTTATTAGAAAAGGGGTATTTCAGGGATGGTCTCATATAAATTTGGTCAAAATCTAATAATTGGTTCCATGAGAACATCCTTAAATTAACCGACTTCAAAAAAAAACAGAAGTTCTCAATTCGTTGCAATATTTTTTTTTTATGTATGTTCAGCGATAATTCTTTAACACGGTGTCCGATTTCAATGATTCTTTTTTTGTTAGAAAGGGGGTACTTGTTCAAAATCTAATAATTGGGTCCATGAGAAAATCCTCAAACTTTTCATTTTTTATATATGTTTAGCAATAATGCTTAACCACCTTGTCCGATTTATATGATTCTTTTTTTGTTACTAAAGGGGTACCTCAGGGGTGGTCCCATATCAATTTGGTTAAAATGTTGTGATGGCATCTGCACGTTTTTGAAGTCGGTTTTTTTAAATTTTTAATTTCTAATATTTGTTGTCTACGTCTGTTATAATAGTTTTTAAAATAGTCATCTTAAAAATATTTTCCTAAATAACGAGGTGTAGCAGGAAACTATTGTACCCTTTGTAATCTATCCTTTTTTATTTTTTATTTAGGAAATGCGGAATTAAAAAAGTATAAACTGTATCGTAGAAGAGTTTAAAAGCTTTAAATGAGTTCAACTCCATCAGTTGAAATTAACAACTGTATATATATAATTAAATTTATTATAATTGACAATTTTTTTTACGGGAAAATGATTGCCCGAAAGTATCAAAATTACTGTTGGACGCCATTGCGGTGGTAATGTCGATTCTAAATGGTTTTTTTTGCGTACAGATAGAGTTGATTTTCCGTAAACAACTTTTAAAATTTCGTTACTATGATTCACGCGCATAATATCGCAATCTAAAAATACCCCGTCCAACCTTAATAATTTTAATAAATCTAAATCTAAGCATTTCATTATAAGAGCAAGCGTTCATATTTTGTATATCGCCAAAATTTATTTTCGGAGTCTAGATTTTTCATTGATCCAAACGAAAAATGTTTTGAAAATAAAAAAAAGTTTGTAGAAAAAATAGCTTGTTTTGTTCCTTTTCAAAGGTTTACATTAAACGAAAGTTTATAAAAAAAAAAAAATTAATTACAAAGTGAAAGATATAAGCCAGTTGTTTACCAGCTTGTATTTAAAAATTCCCATCATCTTTAAAAATTATGTAATTTTTCATTAAAAAAAGTATTTGACATTGCAAAATATTGTTGTAATTCTATGATAAGTTTTCTTAAAACGTGTAAGCAAAGTCCGACCTACTTATCATCAAACTAGAACTAAATGGGTCCTACCAACTACACCTAAATAGGTCTAGCATTGGTACCTACTTACAAGATATTTCTACAGAGTGTTCCTTAATAATACGCGATTATTTAAGGGTGTAAATCTACATGAAAAATTAAGTCTGCTTTATAAACTATGGTTTAAATGTTTTTGCAACAATTTTCTAGGAAAATACAAAGGTTTTATTTTTTTACGTAGGAAAACAAAGAGATTCTTTCAGTTTCAACCACCGCCACATTTGCGATTTTAGTTTTAAAACTCGTAATTAATTTAGTTTCATATAGTTTATTTAAAATTATAGATTTATTTCTAAATGTTGACCAAACAAAAATATAAATGATATTATTTATCGATTCTACATAAAATAATGTATATTTAATCTATATAACTAAAAAATATACTGACAATTATTTTGACAGAATTGTCACTTATTTAAAATTTTAAAAATAATAGTAATCGGGTGACCAAAATATGAACTGTGATTGGCGGATTTAATTTTTTTGCAGTTTTCTCACTACCTAGAATGAATATAAAATATATTCATTCAGATGAACGGGGTTTCAATTTATTTGATTGATAGTTGGTTAAACTTGATTTGTCTACTTTTTCGTTTTGTAGTCTGTGCGTAGATAAGCTAATATCCATGTGGGTGTAGAAAAACATATTTATGTAAGTAAAGTAGTTAAAAAAAAATAATTATTTTATTTTATATTTTAAAAATTCTTAAAGGACAAACCAATTTATTCGAGCAAAAATTAATTTTTTTCCTAAAAACATGTTCATGATTTTCATTTCTGTATTTATTAAAGTGTAAAGGAAAATTTGGCATCGAACGTAGACCGTCCAATTTTATTGTCCACATGCTGAATATCAGGAAAAGAAATCCAAACAATGTCTGATGCAGAAATTGGAACATAACAACGCGAAGCACATGTATTCGTATATTCATAAATCCTAGCAGCGATACTACGTTACATACTTACTCGTTGAAAATAGCTACTTGTTGCGATTTTGGCAAGATGCCGATCACACCTTACAGAGCCCCCTGGACGTGCACCTCTACAACTCTCTACATAATATATTTCACGACGCTACTGACGTCACGCATTTTCTGACGCATTTATTTGCAATCAAATAAAAAGTAATCCACAAAAATGTTTCTTAAGCAGGCCATGGCCGACAAAGACTTTTCCAAGTCCTAGTTTAGAAACATTTTTATATCTATACTCTATACTTTCCATCTTTTTATACAAGGTAACCGATTGAACCGAGGATTAAAGTCTTGTAATCTTATAGTCTCTCTTCATAAATAGTAATCGTTGTTTTTTTTTTTCAGGTTTGAGTCCAGAACACAACGTCAGCTTAGCTGAACCAATGACCACAGACATACAATCCTCAGAAAACAGTTCAGAATGTCCCGACGAGCTATACAATCTAACGAAACTAGCAGAAGTCGCCGTAGCTACAGGCCAAATACTAGAACAAAGACGGATGAATTGTTCTTCGTCTAGCGCCGAGGACGAACCACCATCGTTTACTTACACGCACAAATTGTTCGATAAATCGTCCAGGATACCGCGACCACATTTAACCAAGACTGATGAAGACTCCAAAGACTCCAAACCGATAATATTCGATCTATCCTCCAAACCCCAAACGCCCACTCCTAGTCAGACGGACTTGATGTCTTTAACCACGCCGGTAGGCTCAATTTCACCATCGTTATCTTCTTCGGAGCACCACGAGCATGAGTGTTCTGAATGCGGGAAGAAATATAGCACGTCTAGTAACTTAGCGAGGCATCGTCAGACCCACAGAAGTCCTGCTGATAAGAAAGCTAGGAGGTGTCCACATTGTGATAAGATATACGTAAGCATGCCAGCATTTTCCATGCACGTTAGAACCCACAACCAGGGTTGCAAGTGTCAGTATTGCGGTAAATGCTTCTCGAGACCTTGGTTGCTGCAAGGGCATATCAGAACGCATACGGGTAAGGATATTATTCAACCAGCATTTATTGTTCGATTTTTTACCAATATTTTCTTTCCAGGCGAGAAACCATTTAAATGTACGATATGCAACAAGGCTTTCGCCGACAAATCCAACCTCAGGGCCCACATTCAGACCCATTCCAATACTAAACCGCATATTTGCGGCCGATGTGGTAAAGCTTTTGCTTTGAAATCGTATCTCTACAAGCACGAGGAGTCTTCGTGTATGAGGATGAACGCCGGGCGGCATAGTTCGAGGGAAACAACTCCCGATAAGAGTTTAGCGGCATCGCCGACTCCTGTCATAGTGTCGCTACCTCCCAGGATCTCAGACTCTGTGATCAAGGGACCAGATGCCATTAGGACGCCCATGCTGTATAGGTATGTAAGATTGTCTATAATAATGTTTGGATGATATAGATTACACAGCCTAACAGACATTTTGGTGCCAATGATTTTATAACTATTTTGGGGCTATTAGATTTAGTTTTTGAAATTAAATATAATAATGGTACTTGAATAATGTAGATTTTTCATTTAATTTGAAGAACAGTATTTCAAAAGACTCTTTTGGAAGGTTTACGTCTCTTGTTGATTGAAATGTTGTGAACTTGCTGAATTTGCTTCAAAATCACTATCGTTTTCTAATGCACTGAACTTTATCGCCTGTTGATGGTTCTATTTGATATTTTAGGAGTCTAGACAGGCTGCTGAATTATGAAATTGGTATTTGTTAGGCTTCGATCACATTAAAGGCACGCTTGTGCAAGTAATTTGGTGGCGCGCGCGTGATTAAGCTGGCGTGAACAGCAATGTGCTCACATTAAATGGTGTTTTAAAATTTTTATTTTTAGATGAGCAGGAAATCAGGGAATAGTGGGTTAACGAGTATTTTTTAGGCAGATAGGAAGATGCAGAGTATGCACGATAATTTTACGATTTGCTTAGACAGCCTAATAAGTTTTTTGAATACTTTAGAATGATGCGACACTTTTTATTATGTACTAGGCAAACTAAAATAAGGAGGCAACACAAATCAGGAGCTCCACAACACTACATTATCACTGCCTCGATGGTCAGAAATCAACTGAGATCACGCACGCTTGCAATTAAAAAACAAATATTTTTGTTTCGGATCAAGCTTGCACAAGCGTGCACTTGCTTGTTGCGTGCAGTGTGAGCGGCGATGGACAAACAGCACTTATTTCTGTCGCTCTCCTGTGGATTTTGTTTCTACGTACACGCGCGCGCCACCAAATTACTTGCACAAGCGTGCCTCTAATGTGATCGAAGCCTTATTTGCTGAATTTAGATAAACTTACGTCTATTTTTGTATATTGTTCCGATTGATGGCTTTGATATTAATGGTTTCTTGGTTTCGCCTAAACCATCGGTTCTCCAAACTTTAGGTACTTCCTCTCTCCAATTGTCCACTACTGCAAATGTTTAACGCATAGTTTACATACGAAATTTGGAGCCTAAGATTTATTTTAGTCTTCTAAGTGAACACCAAAATAGGCAACAAAAATCTTTTTCACATAGTTAGAAACATGTTTGCTACTTACTTTTGAAACTTATACAAACATATCAAAAATCGTTTGGATGATTCATTTGAAACTCAAACTCATTATTTTTGCCTTATATGACAACTAAATTAAATTAGCCTGTATCTCAAAATCTGAAGCTGATACTAAAAATTTTATTGGGCTATGCAGGTTATATTTTCACATATCTTCCTGCCTTTTGCTATCTTTCTTTGTTTTTGCACCTATAGGAGTTATACTTATTCATTTTCAGGATAGTTACAATAAGACTTTAAGAATAATTGTTTTTTTTTTTTATTTTGGAAAAAACTAAACTGTTTCTTAATTGTATAATTTTTTTGGAACACACCTGTATAAGAGATTTCGACGTGCTCTCGTCGTTAGTAACAATATCTGAATACATTTTATTGTTAAAAATCTGAAGCAAGTCACTTATTGAAATAGTTTTGTGTAGAATCCAGTTGTTGATTATCAAAAACTCAATTTCAAAATCATAAACTGCTATGTTTACCTTCCAGGTCAACTGTAATATCCCCCAATCCAGAAAGGATCCTCTACTCTACCATCAAGCATCCATCAGTAATTTTGAATGCTACTCGATTCGTGGAAAGCATGAGTCTCCAGGATCAACCCATGGACTTCTCGTCCTCCAACAAGGAGAGGTCCTTCGGTCCGAATAACGACAGAGGATACTTGGGTTTGGCGATAGCTGTTTGAACGAGGTTCTTCGTTACTGTTAAAATTAAAATTCCTATTTGATGGGACCATAAAAATTCCAGGAAAAGGTTTGATTGATAATGTTTTTTTTTATTTAATTTTTTTGTTATTTTGATGAAAAGGTGAAGAATTACTTGCATGCAATTTGGTAATAATTGTAGTTTATTTGAAATAAATGTTTTGATATTTTGATGAAAATTTATTAATTTTAAATGGTTTTATATCGAAATATTTGTGATTGATATTTTTTTTTTTGTATGATTTAGTGGTAAAATATTGAAAAATTGGGAGTATTTTTCTTATACAGAATGAGCGCGAAAAGAAGGGCAATAAAGTGAAATATCTGGGACGGTTTTTAATATTTACTATACAGGGAGTGATAGAAAAGTTTCACACATTTCCTCTTTCTCTCTCTTATGTTTTACGAGATTCCATTAATGGTCTTTTGAAATATACGCTCTATATACAGGGTGTCTACTAGTGGAATATCAATATTTTAAGGTGTTATTTTTGGATTCTTTTTAAAAAGAAAACTTTATAAGAATATATGTCTTAAACGTCTTAAGTTTCGAGATACAAGGTGGTAAAGTTTTTAAAAATAAATAATTTTTTGATATATGTTATACCACTCTAGATATTTAAATTTAGTACACAGGTACTATGCATCAAAATATATTTTTGGTGTACAACATCTGTCGAAAGTGCATTTTGCCTTTTGATGCATAATACCTGTATACCTAATTTCATTAGAATATCTAGATTGTATTATAGATATTGTTAAAAATATTTTTAATATTTTTAAAAACACAAAAATCAAGACGTTTTGTGCATACGTTCATGAAATAGGCCCAAAATCACCCCTTTTAGATAATTATGTTCAATTAAAAAACACACTGTATAAATAGGTAGTAGTACTAATATTCTAAACTACTTTATATATCCTCCGATATATTTACATATATTAGGTATTTTTCAAATAATACACTTTCTAACGTTAATTTACAGTCAAATACTACAATTTGAAAATATACAGCGTGTTTACTTTTTATTATTAATTTTAAGGAAAAAATACACTTCTTATTATGTTATTTTATTTTTCCCAAATTTTTCTTGAAATTTTATTTTATTTCCAATTTTTTTGAGCTCAATCTTATATGCAGTGTATTGATTAAGTCTCTTACCCTCTACCCCCATGTCTCCCCCATTTCTACCACTACGCCTCTTTTCTCCTACTTTTAATCCATCCTTAATCCCACCACTTCTGTCCCTTTTCTTCAACTTCCTCTTTGTTCCCCTAATCTTCCTGTTCTCCTTACCCCTGATCCCATTGTCCCTTGTTTGAAAAACGTTTGGTCTTTCCCTCCTCCAATTATTTAAAGATAGGCCGAACGGCACTTAGTTTCAAAAGCGGAATTCAAACATATCACGCTAACCCTTTTAAATGAAGTGCCCCTTGGAGTGGCTGATATTTCATGTCATAATTTTAAAATTAAAATTCACGATTCATAAGGGGAGATTATGAAGTTGAGATAAATCAATTTTGATTAGTTTAACGTTAGTTTTACGTATGTATATTTTGAATAATTTCTATTCAACGTCATACAACTAGTCGACATACCAAATATTCATAATTAATCTGGTTTTATTTAGTCAGCTCTCTTAATTTTTGTTTTCCAATTAAGAGAGCCTAAAAACGATTTTTTATATTGTATTTAATAAGAAAATGTAAATAAATGCCTTAATTTTGGTAAATCGCGTGCCTTAATACTCTTAAGTAACTAATTGAATTCTAGAGTACCAAATACTCTTAATTCAAAAACAGTATTGTGGTAGTTAGAAAAAACTACTCTTTCAGAGATAAAAAAAAGTATTTGTATTTTTTAACATATTATTATTTTGATTTACCTAAATCTGCCAAAAAGTAATTATTAACGTGAAGAAAAATTATTATAATACACATCGCCAAAATTCTTGGACCCCCTTACGTTTGTCAAAATGAGACACTAGTATTAATATTTAAGAAATGTGTTACACGGAAAAAAAATTGTAGAACAAATTTCTACAATTGTAGATTTTTTCTCTACAATAAATAGTACATATAGGGACAGGGACAATTTGTAGTAAAAATTTCCAAATATTTGTGGAGAATGTATTGTAGAGTTATTATCTACAATATTTAGTAAAAAGATCCAAATGCATCATAAGAATTGTTCTACAAATTGTTATAATTTTTGCTATTCATTGTATGAATTTATATTAAAAATGTATTGCGTTTTATGAAAATAAATACGAAAATTTTACACAATAAATAGTAAAAATTCATACAAATTGTAGTAATTTTTAATAAAATTTGTAGTAGTATTCCATAATTATTAGGTATAATTATAACCTAGAAAAAAATGTTCCTTAATAAAATATTCAATTTATTGTTTTAATATAAAAGATGCAAATTCTTAATTACATTATGTAATAAATAACAGTAATAATAGCGCCCTCAGTCTCAGTTGGCTTTTCTGCACCTGAAAAATTAATACCAATTGAATTGTTCATACCCTTAAAACGGGGATATTTATCACCTTTACACTGATTTGGATATTAAATGACTAAGTCAGATAACTAACAAAAATGAGAAAGTAGGTATGTCACAATTAAGACAAAAAATCATCATTGAACTTGGCACAAAATTCGATCGTTGGGCACAACATTCGATCGTTGGCCACAACTATTTTTTTAAAATAATCTACTAAGGTTATTTAAATTAGTTATCTAAAGGTAAATTATTTAGAAACAATAATGAATGTACTTACCACCAATAGAATTTATTATTAAAATTTTCTCAAACGCATCGGTGCTTATAATACCGGGTGTCCGCGCGAAAACTTTAAATGGAATTATTTCTGGTGTTTTAAAATATATCGACTTGAAATTTTGGAAGGTCATTAAGGAAGTAGGGGGTAAATTAATAGTGTATAAGATACCACTCCAACGTGATATCTGCCGCCCCAAGCCACCCCCGGTTCAAAAGTTTAAATGACACCCTGTATTTGTTTTTACATATTCTGAAAGAGCGTAGTTTTTTTAGTATCTTTATGTGAAAAAATTACTTAATTACATACTGAACTTTGAAATATATTTACAGCTAAAGGTTCAGATACCAGATATTAAAAAAAAGAACTAGTAACCTTGGACAGTAGACAAATTTCGAAATAATTAAAGCAGATAGAAACAAAAAAATCTAATTATCCAAAAAAATATAACTTATCACAAAAAAATACAACTTATCACAAAAAAATACAACTTATCACAAAAATAGGCATTCTTATATAGACCAACAAAATTTCGCTTTATAAACTAAAGTAAGGACTCTTTTTATTTTTTTAGTTAAATCAAATGTTCAAAATGTTCACCGTTTACATTTAAACAATAGTACAGTCTATTCTCGAAAGCGATCCGAATATTTTCAAAGACATGTGGTGTTAAATCTCTACATTCCTCTATGATTCTATTACGCAAATCATCAATGGATTGTGGTGGTGTCCTGTAAACAACAGACTTTAAATGTCCCCATAAAAAGAAATCCAGTGGGGTCAAGTCTGGGGAGCGAGCTGGCCATTCAATAGGACCCCTACGACCTATCCATTGTCCTGGAAAAACGGTATTTAAATATTGCCTTACTTCTAAACAGTAATGAGGGGAACTCCGTCTTGCTGAAAGTATAACAGATCCTCCTGCATTTGATCTAAGTTTTCTTCCAAGCACTGAATGATAAGAGGATGTATTAATTCTTCTAAAAACTCGAGATATCTAGGCCCAGTTAAATTCTCGTGATAGAAAATTGGACCAATTATTTGGCTATTTAGAATTCCAGCCCATACATTAATTTTTTGGGGACGTTGCGTATGGCCTTCTCGAAAAACGTGGAGATTAACATCGCTCCAATATCGACAATTGTGTCTATTTACGAAACCATTTAAGGAAAAGCAACTTTCGTCACTGAAACAAATATTTCGCAAAATATTTCTATTTTGCCGAATCATGCCTGTCATAGTTTCACAAAATTGGACTCTTCTATCGAAGTCATCGTCGCCCAACTCTTGATGAAGCTGTATTTTATAAGGATGCATTTTATTTAATTTTAATATTTTATGGCACGTTGTTTTTGCCACTCCCGAAGCTTCTGATAATTTTCTAACTGAAAGCTGTGGGTCTAAATTTACGTGACCAAGAACTGCAACTTGCTTGCTTCATCTCGTGCTCCACGATTATTCATATCACGTTTTTTATTATTTACCGATCCAGTTTCAAAAAAATTTTGTATTAGATTAATTACATAAACAGCAGATACATTTTTGTTGGGATGGTTTTCGTTAAATAATGCTGCCGTCTGCGAATAGTTTCTGTTTGCAATCCCATATAAAACTACAATTTCAGTTCTTTCTTCCAAACTGTAAACCATTTTTCTATTTTTTTAGCTATTTAATTTAAACTAAGTCAAATTTTTTCGAAAACTTTTGTACTAACGAGTAAACAGAAGTGTCACAAACAATATTATTTGACAGTTCAAGCAACGAAGCAGCTTTCATGGCTTGCTATTATTTTTTGCTTTCGATATTTGAATATCTGGTATCTGAACCTTTAGTTGTAAATATCTTTCAAATTTCATTATGTAATTAAGTAATTTTTTCACATAGAGATACTAAAAAAACTACGCTCTTTCAGAATATGTAAAAAAAATACAGGGTGTCATTTAAACTTTTGAACCGGGGGTGGCTGGGGGCGGCAAATATAACGTTGGAGTGGTATCTTATAGACTATTAATTTACCCCCTACTTCCTTAATGACCTTCCAAAATTTCAAGTCGATATATTTTAAAACACCAGAAATAATTCCATTTAAAGTTTTTTGCGCGGACACCCGGTATAATAATGTGTTATAGGTACTCGTATATGTACCATGCTTTGTTATGTGAACATGGCGAACGGCTACTGCCGTCTGGCCGTTTATGATCGACGTCAGAGAACGTTGGCCAATAGCAGAATTCTGTTTTGTTCACATGACTTAGAATTTCTACAATATTATAGAATATTTTTGAAGAAGGGATGTAAAGTATTACTATTTTTTGTAGAGAAAATTACTATTTTTTGTAGAGATAATTATTAATATTTGTACAAATTTTTACAGAAGTTAGTAGTGTAGTAATTACGATAATTGTAATAAATTTCTACTTCTACAAACAATAGTAAAATATACTAAACATTGTGGACTTCTTTCCTATTGTTGTAGCATTTTATTCGACAATTCAATTGCTACAATAATTAATAGTTTTTAACTATAAATTGTAGTAAATTTTTTTACAAATTGTTAAGTATTTTTCTACAAGTCTACTACTACAACATTGTAGTAAAATTTTCTAGTCACATTTTTTTCCGTGTACATAGTACATTTAATTTGGTTATGAAACCAATAAAAATTGGCTAAATTAAATTTTAACTGAACAAGAAAAAAAATACAAACGAAATAAATAAAATGATTACTAGAATTTGAAATCCAGAAGAAAACCACTTTAATAATATTCGGTGTGTTCTCCCCTGTTTTATAGTAAGGTATTAATTCGCCTGTGCATGGAAACTATAAGGGTGTTAATGGTATCCATTGGGATGTTGTTCCATTCTTCTTGGGCCGCGACTGTGAGTTCCTGGAGGGT